ACTCATACTCCCTCTAATTCTGCCTCATAAAGTATACATTTTACCCTTCGAATGTATCTTACTTTATGGAAATTGAGCTAATAATTAGAAGGACCAGAGACAAATTACACTCAAAAGAATTACACCCAGGATGGAGGGAGAGGGAAGAGGAGGGGAGGTGGGAGGGAGCGAAGGGAGGCAGGGGAGACATGGTATGAACAAAAGGCTCTAGTTAATAAGAAAATGGGATAGAATGATGAACTGAGAAAATACGACAATCCAATTTTATCTCTTTTTTGATAGAGTAGGAAGCAAATTTACCCAAAACGCTTGACTCGTACAATGTATAGAAAATTTATCTACACACATTCTGGAGAGAGATGAGTTTATTTTTATGAAACATAAACACTAGGCAAAAATTATGCTAGCTGAAAGAGTGTCTAGAGAGCCACATACATCCATGATGTTAAATATAGAAACTAACTGTGATGAGAATCATTATCTCCGGTTTCCAAGGATACCAGGATAAGTACTACTCCTAAATTGCGGTTCATTCAGCAAAGGGCACAGAGTAATTTATATTCAGGGTCATCTCTAGCTGACAGCAGATGGAGGAGGATCGAAGTAAATAACTCGGTTTGTTCACATCTTCCTTTACCCACTGCAGTTCCCAGCCTCCGACCCCTCCCACCTTCATTCTTTGGGGTCAACCTTTGGCCGATGCTTTATAGGTGACATTTGTAAAACAGGACTATAAATACAACTTTCCAGAAAAAAAAAAATCCACAAGGGACAGGACAAGGCAGTCCACATGTAATTAATGCCGGGGGAGGGGGGTGAGGAGGCTGGCATTGCGGTTATTTTGTGTGTGTGTGAAAAGGAGAAGAGGTGGGTTTGGTGCATTTGTTTGCCCCAGGGCCTGGAAAGGGACTGCATAGTTCATTTCAACTTCCCACCCAACGAAGGTGTCGGCCAGTGGTGGCTCAGGAATATGGTTCATTTCCAGGCCAATGAGTCACCACCCATCATCCATCTGTTAGCGAAGGTTTGCATTTACTATGATGCTGAACGGGCTTCCTTGCTGCTTCTAGTGGAAGATGGGCTCGAAAGAAAGAACAGGTGCTGTACCTGAGAAAATCCACTAATGAACACCCTAGGGAGCACAACAATAGCTGCTTGTGGTGGGAGGACCCACCACCAGGTACATTTCATGCCACTGCGCAGGAGGTGCCCAGAAGTTGGGGGTCAACTCCATAGCAGCTGACAACCACCCAAGCAAAGCCATCCAAGACTTTGGATGTTTATCACTCTTAAAGGGCTGCCCTTTCTAGTTTTAAATTCATTTTCCATTTGCTCGGACAGGCGACTTGCTGTTGGTGTCTATAGACCTGTTGTTGTTAGTGCCAGTGGGTTATCTTCAACTCAAAGTGGCCCCGCGACAGAGCAGAACTGCCCTTCGGGCTGTGTCAGTGGTCATCTCTTAGGAAGGAAGCTGTCGGTCAGCACTGGACTGGGCAGCAGTTCAAACCCAACAGCTGCTCCACAGAAGAAAAGCGAGGCTCCCTGCTCTTGTCAAGATGTACAGGCTGGGAGAGCCTACCTGAGGTCACTGTGGGTCAGACTCCACTCGATTGTAGTGGGGGCAACACTGATGGGAACTGAGTGCCAGTTCTTTCTCCCTCAGAACAGCTGTGTGGGTTGAAACCTTTCCATTATCAGTACTCTTTTTCTATCGTCATAGAGTTGTTTGTTTGTTTGTTTTCAATCATTGTATTGGGGGCTCCTACAACTCTTATCACAATCCATTCATCCATTCATTCATTGTGTCAAGCACATTTGTACATTTGTTACCATCATCATTCTCAAAACATTTGCTTTCTACTTGAGCCCTTGGTATCAGCTCCTCACTTTTCCCTTCCCTCCCCGCTCACCCCTTCCTCATGTACTCTTGATAATTTATAAATTTTTTTTCATATCTTACACTGACCGGTGTCTCCCTTCACCCACTTTTCTGTTGTCCGTCCCCCAAGGAGAGGGTTATAGGTAGATCCTTGTAATCAGTCCCCCTTTCTCCCCCATCTTCCCTATACCTTCCTGGTATCGATACTCTCATTATTGGTCCTGAGGGGTTTATCTGTCCTGGATTCCCTGTTTCCCGCTCTTACCCGTACTAGTGTACATCCTCTGATCTAGCTGGATTTGTAAGGTAGAATTGGGGTCATGATAATGGAGGGGGGAGGAAGCATTAAAGAACTAGAGGAAAGTTGTATGTTTCATCGGTGCTGTACTGCACCCTGAATGGCTCGTCTCCTCCCCGTGACCCTTCTGTAAGGGGATGTCCAGTTGCCTACTTATGGGTTTTAGGGTCTCCACCTCACACTCCCCCTCATTCACAGCGATATGATTTTTTGTTCTTTGATGCCTGATACCTGATCCTATCGACACCTCATGATCACACAGGCTGGTGTGCTTCTTCCATGTGGACTTTGTTGCTTCTCAGCTAGATGGCTGCTTGTTTATTAAAAACTACCCGTGACAATCTAGGCGATATTGTTTCGGAGTCATTTATTTGTGTATCCAAGGCCATTTATTGAGTGATTTCCATGCAGCAGGCATTGTGCCAGGCCAGGTGGGTAGTGACAGGAAGCCATGCTCAACTTCCCTCTCCACTTCTTCAAGATCGTCAGTTTAAGCACCAATAAGAGGCCATGCCACTTAGTTCATTTTTAAGGAGGTATTCCCTGCCCTAATCAGACTGTCACTTACTAAAATTGTGACGAACACTGGAAATACCGCAGGCTGCCAGGAGGGCAAACAAAGCGGTTTTGGAAGATGGTGAGTCCCTCTTGCACTATCAGGAGGGACCAGTCCCCGGGGAAGCTCATCATGCTTGGGAGAGGAGACCGGCAGCGGAGAGGAGGAAGACCCTCCCCGAGGCGGACTCTCAAACAACCAAAGTTGTGAAGACAGTGCAGGTCAGGGCAGCGGTTTGTTCTGTGGCACAGAAGGTCACGGTGACCAGGAGCTGACGCAACTGACCTAAACACAACAAAATCCTGCTGGGAATTTTGGGGAGACTTTGTATGTATGTCTTCAACCAATAGAACATCTATATAAAAACGGATCCAGATATAACACAGCAATTTTCTTTTTAGTTTGCCTCTTCTTCCACTGTCACCTGGCTAACTAGTACTTTAAGACCTCCTCAGGTGGCCCCTCAGCTGGATGCAGAGGAACTTGGATAGGAAGAAAAGCAGCCCTTGCCTTTAAACACGGCTGGACAGGAGACATGGCATGAGGCTAAGCTTCTTAACTTAAGGCGATCATTTAGGAGAATAAGCAGCCTGTTTTTTAAATCAAGGCCTTATAGCTCAGTCTTCTCTCCTTTGCACCATTTCCATTCATGGAAACCGTTCACATTTTTAAGACCGTAAAGGAATGCAAGACAATGAAGGTTCCCAATAGTTATATAACAGTGCGTGTCTCTCAGCAGGCTAGCGATTTGATATTAAAAGTGAACACAAGAATGACACAACGCTTCTGACAGTTTTCTCCCCACACATTTTTAGATGATTTCAATATCAAGTTGAAATATCAAATCACCTACTTAGATGCATTGTCCAATCTTTTCTTTTCCTTTGGTTCATTTTTAAAATAACTATTTCTTTGTACTAAAAGATATTTATTTCGGTTGCAATAAGTAATTGCAGCAAAATTTAAAACCAGGTGAAATAATCCATATCAGCCTCCTTAAAAGTTATGTCAGCAATATTTTAATACATGATTCTGACGATGCTTAACTATCTCTCAAAAGGGGCAACTTTTTGAGGTAAAATGGTTTCAAACGACATTCTATGTCTGGATCTTGGACGTTTTGAAATGCTTAAATGAGGGAAGGTGCTACTAGGACACCTTTCTCCTCCTGACTCCCGAGGCAGTTTTGCCTCACAGCGAACAAGTGGACCCTTCTGTGGGCGAGAGACACAAAAAGCATGCGCGGTGCCACTGGCAGAAAGGTCCTGCTCTCTCCAGCACGGTTTCTCACCGGCACCATCGGTCGTCACAAGACCTCTGAAGGCAGAGCCAGCGTTCAATAAAGGTCAGGCCTGTACTTGCCAGGGTGCAGAAATATCCACTTCACGTTAATTAATTAATTTTTAAGTTCGGCATTGACAGCACCCTTCCCCACCAATCAGGAACCTGAAACTTGGACTTGGGCCACTTGGCCTCAGGCAGGCAGTCCGCCTTTTTTCCCTGCGCCCCGCTCCCTTCAACACCCCCGCTACACACACACACACACACACACACACACACACACACACACACGGTCTGTCTATTGCACGCCTCTGAAAACACTTTCTAGTGTCTCTCCTCTACCCCCGCCCTGACACTAGAAAGTGTCCCAAGGATAATACTTAAATCCTAAAGGCAGCACAAATGCTCCTGGAGCGCTGTCACCAACAACTGCACAGGTGGAGCACGGACGGCCAGCGAGAGGTCGCTCGGACACCCGCAGCCCAGGCTCCGAGCTCCCGGCGGTCGGCGCAGCTCGCCTTCGGGGCCCAGCCCGGCGTCGGCCGGCCCCAGCGCAGCCCCGGGCCTGCCCTGGGCGCGCAGGCTGCGGGCAGAGCAGACCGTGGCGCCCGCCGGATCCGGCCCTGCACGGCTAGGGGGTGTGGCTGGGCTCCGGTGACTTGGCCACCAGGGAGTTGGGGGTGGCAGTGGCAATGTGGCCTGAGAGTTGTTCGGGGGACGGAAGGGTGACTGGGCAGAGGCTTGGCCGCGGGGCAGCCGGGCTCCAGCTCCGCGGGCAGTGCCCGGGGTGCAGGGGCATCTTCAGAGGGGGCAGAGACGGGGTGCGACCCGGCTCTCCGAGCCCCCGCACTGCCCGGGTGGGCTGGGGAGGCGGTCAGCAGCAGGGAAGCGGTGGCCAGAGAAGGGTCCTCTCTCTGCGGAGGCCGCCGAGCTGGGTCGGAGGGGAGGTCGCGCGGGGGTCGCGGGGGGGTGGGGGGCGCACTCACCTAGGCATAGCTGGATGGCGTAGGCGTAGTAGGACCACCCCAGCAAGAGGCCGATGAACACCACCGGGGTCCAGTACAGGACCCTCCGGCACCGCCGTCTGACGCCGCCCGGGCCCGAGGGCGCCATCTTCCAGCCGCAGCCACCTGCCCAGCTCCGCC